CATTGTCTTTGTACCGAATTGTGCTATACAAATAAATTTGCCTTGCCTTGCCTAATGTTACCTGCCTGTTAAGTGTCAAGATAATGTTTTCCCAAGCAGTTTATCTAAATAGGACAGCTCTTCTGTCACGATAAAAACTAATCATCTTCATTATTTACGTAACAAAGATTTGGGAAAGAAGTCTGAGGATACAGAAAGAGTGGATTATTCTGTAACTGTGCATTTGAGTTGTCCTTGATCTAAGAACAGTGCAATATTTTGATATGGCTGGAGCTAGTGAAGTGTCCTCATGTTCAAAAATGTATGATGTAATGATGCGATGACTTGGCATGCTGTGTGTATGGAATAATTCCTTAACGGTTATTCTGGGAAAACTTCCTGAAGAAGTAAACCCTGTGTTAATTCAATTCAATTCAGTTCATTTCTACAGCGCCAATTCACAACATATATCATCTCAAGGCACTATACAGTTCACCAGATCACCCAGTCAAATTGATTCAAAGTTTTCTATCTAAGGAAAACCAGTTGATTGCATCGACTTGAATGCAATCCCTCACACTAAGCATGCCTGTAGCGACAGTGGAGAGGAAAAACTCCCTCTTAAATGGAAGTAACCTCCGGCCGAACCAGGCTCGGTGTGAGCGGCCACCTGCCGAGGCTGACTGGGGTTCAAGGAGACAGAAGCAGAGAGATACAAAAATCAACTGTGAAAGGCGGCCCCGTCCAAGAAACACACAGCCAGGCAGACGAGCTCCGAGCCAACTCCCATGTCAGAGGATGAAAAGAGCACATCCAGTTAGTCACAGTCAGACAGACATGGGCAATGTGGAGTCAACAAGTCATCTCCATGTCATGTATTTAATCTACCCATCCAATTAACCAGGTGAGTCCAATCTGCACAGGTTAATTCACGGTGAAGATTGGACTCACCTGCTTCAGTGGCTGGCAAATACATGACATGGAGATGACTTGTTGACTCCACATTGCCCATGTCTGCATTCAGAGAAACAGGACTACACTGGAAAACAGGCCGATCTCCAACATCTCTAAACAAAAGGGTTGATGGCAGCAGCACAGCTGATATTTCTCTCCAGGATGGCGTCACAGCCAAACAGGAACAGACCAGATTGAGTACAATTACAATATCTGTCAAAATCAAAGTAGTTTAATACATAAATCTCAGAAAATATTATTTAAAGTGTTTGTTCCAAGTGATCTATTCTCAGCAAAGAATCGAGGAGAGATAGCTTAAGGATGTAAACATAGAGTTTTCCTTTACAATCATGACACTGTCAGGCAATTAGATCTCAGATGTGTATTGCCAGTTTAATTTTTATAAATTGCAGTAAAGATTCCAATTAGCAGTAACTGTGTTACTGTTTCTGATTCGTTTCCAGACCCGAGTTGACAACATTTAATTGTTTGATTATCCTGTCATGAACTGAAAATTGCAGTCAATTCACCTGTTAAACCATGTTGGAGAGTCTTTCAAAGTAAAGCAACATCTACAAACATAGTCATCGGATGGAGGACTTCCCTTTTAATAAAAGCTTTGTATAAAACCTAATGAGTTTTATTTCCTTTTATTTTCTATTATGAATGCTTTACACTTAAACTTTGTTCGTGACACTGAAGTGTCGTTTTGAGGTAATTTTCCCCGTAAAGAAATGTTTTTCCATCAGCTCTCTCCTGCAGTCGAAGTATCGCGCTTCTACACAGGGTTTTACAACCAGCGCTGTACCGTGATGCATTCAAATACATCATGTACCCTAGATTGTTTATTTTTTACTATATTCTTATCACTTCATTTTATTTAGCATTTATTTTGAAGAAAAACGAGTCAATAATTTCTGTGGGAGAACAAACAGTAGCACGATTTAGTTTATACATATATAAAAGACACATTACCTTTCTTGTTAATATTAAATACGTTTTTTCGGCTTTATGTTAAAATACTAAAATTGTTAATATTTTTAAAAGCTAAATTGGGAAAGTCTGTTTAATTACTTTCTGTACATAAGCAGGTTATTACCGTACAATACCTTGAAATTATTTGTAGGAAAGCCTAGAGGATAATAGTATGCCTTTTACAAGCTTGATGCAGATTGAGTCACATTTGAAGCAAGCAAAGAGATCCATAAATGGCACATATCAGAATGGGAGTGAACCCATATTTCTAAATTTCAAGTTTATGTTCTTTATAATTATTTGTGTTGTGCTTGAATTTTTAAAACTTCTTTGAGGTATGTGGAACAACAAAGCACACATATCAGTCATAATTAGGACGGTTAACTGTTGAATAATATGATAAAAGCAAATCTTAAATTTTGTTTCTTAAACATTAAGGTTTTTTTTAATGCCAATAATTTCGCAATAATAACAATAATAAAACATTTTATGTCAAATGCACCTTTCTGGACACTCAAGGTCACCATACAAAAGATAAAAACATAATGGCAGAAACAAAGCTAAACCATTTAAAAAATACATTTAAAATCATAGTTGGACATGTGGAATTTGTAGGTTTAATATTTTGGCCCTCCAGAAATAGAGGAAATATAAAAAAAATGGGGCCACCCTCAGATTTTTTAATTTATTTTTTTTTAATTGCTGAAACCTGTTTGTCTTTTAGTTTAATTTCAGTGCCTTATCAATCAGTATTTTTGTTTTTTGTTTATTTATTTTTATTGCTTTTTTGAGAAATCTAACTAGCTTAATAAAACATTCAGATAGTTTTTATATATTAAGTGTTAGATACAATAAATAGAAAAAGAACAAAACAGAAAAACAACTGCTGTATCCAGGTTTACATTCATAGATATTCCAAAGTCAGAGTTAACTTGAATGCACCGTGAAAGTTCGCAGCGGCCGTAACAAACTGTGTAGAAGCGCATTCGTTGGGTGAACTCCTCTAACCTTACCGGATATAGTCTGCTTTTATGCTTTTATGCCTGCAGCGGCGCTACCTTGACAGACATCTCCAACTTCAGTTTGAGCCGCTCGGGCAGCACAGACGTCTGTCCGGATGGAGGACTAACCGCTCACCTAATCTGGGTCACTCCTCTTTATATGACCCGCAGATGGGCATGTAGCTTCTTGTGTTTCTTCTAAATACTTCGCCTCTATTTTCGTGCTAAAATGGGTTCCCTTAGCATGTTTATTCACAGGGGTCTGATTGTGAGAGCATTATGTTGCTTGCACAGTCAGCGTGATTTGCTATGGTGATACTACAGGAAGCTAACCCCGAGCTAGCCCAGGGATCGTTTTTGGGAGATACCTTTTTTTTGGATAAAGCCACACGCTAACGCGTGAATCAGACACTTGTTGTTAACCTTCATTGAAGTGGAATATCGAAAGGGAATGTCGAACCAAGGAGTTAGGAGAAATGGCCCAGTAAAGCTGCGGTTGACAGGTAAGCAGAATTTAAACCCCCCTTCTTACACCGCTTAGTTATGCTAGCAAACTATTAGCTTGGATGCTAGCAGTTCTTACTAACGTCTACTGGCTGTGAAAATCTAAAATATAGTGGAAAATATGATCATAAACACATTTTATACATTCGGAATATCGTAACACAACCAGTAACGTTATCCTTAAGGGAATGAGGTTTAAAAGCAGTATAGTGAGTGCTGTTTATGAGCCTGCCTTGTTAGCAAACATTAGCTTGGAATAAGCTGCTATTTAGCGACATAACCACAAAATTAATGATTAATATTCAATTATTTTATCTTTATCATCATTTATGCTTTTTTAAGCGCAAATGCATTTTAGCTGTGCAATGAGAATTGTGTTTTGCAATACTTTTAGGAATATATTTGCTTGGCGTAGCGTTGTTTTAAACCTTTTAGATGTTGCAGCAAAAAGATGTTTCTTCCATTTAACCAGATCTGTGTGTGTCATTAAAGTACAGCATTTAATGCCAGGGAATCCTGGTCAGGACGAGCGGCTACATTTCTTATTTAGATGGATTTAAATAGTTAACGCAAGGCAAAAAAAAAATAATAATCTGTATTTACCTAAATAAGAACTGGTTAGAATAGAAAAGAAGCAAACCTGCATTTAAGAAGATGATCTATAAAGGACATATCTCTGCTCAATCCCCTTTTTTCCTCCTCAGTATACTTTGATTTTATCTTTGGAGGGCACTTTAAATCAATAAACAATCCAGAAACTACAAGCCGCTCTGTGGACTTTGTTGGGTTTTCAAAAAAACGAAAACCAAAACAAAAAAGGGCCCACTAAATTATACCTATCACTTTTATACGGAAGAGGATTAGGGCCACTGAAAAAAATTAAAAAGTTAACTGATTTTTAAATATTATTTCAGTTTAATATGGGGAAAAGGTTAGAAGTCTGACTTTAATCTCAGAATTTTGACTTAAATCTCAGAATTTAATCTCAGAAGTTTGACTTTAATCTCAGAAGTCTGACTTTAATCTCAGAAGTCTGACTTTAATCTCAGAAGTCTGACTTTAATCTCAGAAGTCTGACTTTAATCTCAGAAGTCT